AATTACACACCAAGGTGTGTTTAATTACACACCAAAGTGTGTTTAATTACACACCAAGGTGTGTACATTTTACACACCTTCCTACACAATTTTAGAAAACACACCTTTGTTTGTTAGAAAACACACCATGATGTGTTAGAAACACACCATAGTGTGTAACAAAACACACCTAGGTGTGCTAAGAAACACACCTGTATTTTACACACCGTTTCGTACACACCTTTGATGCATATAAGGTGTGTTCAATAACACACCTTTTGAATGAAAACACACCTTGGTGTGTTCGAGAACACACCTCATACTAATTTACAAAAACACATCTTGGTGTCTTAGATAACACACCCTACACCGATTTTGGAAAACACGCGTGCACGGTGTGTACTGAAAAATGCTTTTTAGTAACATACAATAAATCCAATCATCAATCACGGTAATGTATGCTATAATATGTTTTTCGGATAAATACAGTAGATGTAAATGGCGATATTGACTTTGCCGGCGATATCAAGTTTTACGTGTCTAATAACCGTTTGATATTACTATTTAATTTTTAAGAGATTAATCTGTCTTCAGCACACCATTAATATCTGAAATATAGGTAACTGATCTTTTGAAGCTCTTCGGATCGAAAGAAACGAAAATTCTCACGATGAGCGCGATTTTACAGACTGATACCTAGTTTTCGTACTACGCGCGCAAAGCTTCTTGGGATAGCGTCATTTATTCACACCGCCATATTTTCAAGCCTTCATTCTGAATTTATGGTTCGAAAAATTCGCTTTTTTTAAGCGACGACGAATGATTTGAACGAAGAAGAAACAGCGGGGATGACTTAATAATGTTCGCACTCTAAAAAAAGGTGTGTTAATTTAACACACCTTTTTGTCCAAATTTTAACACACCTTAAGGTGGGTTTTAAAACACACCTTAAGGTGTGTTTAACACAGCTTTTGGCGTGTTTTGTAACACAGCTTAAGGTGTGTTAAACACACCTTAAGGTGTGTTCTAAAACCCACCTTAAGGTGTGTTTTCGGCTTGTCCAGATTTTAACACACCTTAAGGTGTGTTTTGTATAAAGGTGTGTTTTTGAACACACCATGGCGTGTTTTCGTACACACCATGGCCTGTTTTCATACAAACCATGGCGTGTTTTCATACACACCATGGCGTGTTTTAAAACACACCTAAAGCTGTGCTGTATAACGCACCATTGATGTCTGTAATGTTTACAGCACGTTGTAAGGCGTGTTTCATAACACACTAAGGTGTGTTACATAACACACCTACAAAAGATGCTATATAACACAGCAAACCTAAGGTGTATTAGAAAACACATCTACATATTCTTATTAAAAGTAAAATGACATTAGAGACATGCTCATTTGCACAGAGTTTATCCATGACAAAATATTTATTTGACACTGACTAAATTACATTTTACATAGCTGACTATGTACTTTTACTATGTACTTTTACTTAACCGAACTGTAACAGACAACTTCTCATTCTGATGCAGTGTTCTGGCAATTAGAGTAATGGAGTACGATATTAATTGTCTCGTACTTTATAGCTATGCAATTGTCAAAATATTGCAACCCCACATCTTCCACAATCAGAATACCTGTCATATGAAATACTGTAAATAACTTGCATCCAATCATTCCATCTTTGTATCATTTTCTTTATCGCTCGGTGAACCACAACCTTTGAATCACATAGCCAAGTTTAACCATATTTACAGGTAGTCGTATCGATCCAACATACACGCCTGTGTCAAGATAAGTAAAAACTTAATATACAATGGGACAATCTTACAGCTTAAGTGTATATATAACATATGTAATTAAGTCATTTAACCCACTAGCACGCAGGACTCTCTTCTTGATGACTAAAATTGTCTGGCGTTTGACAGAGTAAAATAACAAAGGCGGGTCCATTTGGGTGCATTTCGGCTTAATGGGTTATCAAGGCACATTGGCAGATAGTTTGGATAACCATTAGTGAGCAGGACACTGCTCTTGAGGAGTAAAATTATCTAGCATTTTACAAAGTAAAATGTCTGGTGTTAGATAGTACAACATAACAAAATAGGGTGCACTTGGGCACATTGCTGCTCAAAGGGTTAACAATAAAAGGGTGCATATATTAGCTAAGTATTTTGAATATCAATATACAGTCATTTAACAAGTTAATTTGTTCGGCATTTCAAGACATAGCATTCAATGGACTGATACTGTATCTGGCCGGATATTAAGATTTTAATTCATTATCTGGTATCTGGCTGCCCAATGCCGGATATTATTTATATAGGGTTCAGGCCTTCTTTTCAGGTTAGAAAATGATTTGATAAGGTTATCATATCATGATCATTGAAGCAAAAATATGATAAATATGATCAGTATTTTCAAGATTTTTTATGCTTGTTTGTACAGTAAATGGGGATTTGAACTTTTAACTGATGTAAACGAGGCTTTTGCTACCAATGATGCATGTTTACTAGTTTTAGACTGTTTACTTTTTAACCAAATAAAATTATTACCAGTACTTAATCATAAATGATGCCTGAACCTTATATACTTATTTGAATAATACCCTGAATCAGGCTGGATATTTTTCAGCTATCCAGCATATCCTGTATCTGGGTGGATAGCAGAAATACTCTGTCCTGCACACGCCTAGAAAGAACCGAAAGTAGGCAACATTTAAGAGGAAATTGTTTCTTCGGTGTTAATAGGTGAAATGAGGGCAAGCAATCCACAGTCGATAAGTAAAATTGTCTAGCATGAGACGTCACAGTTCAATATTAAAGTATTTAAAGTAGGGAGTGTTAGGGAAAATTGCATCTAAATATGTCAACATGAAACATGATTGGGCAAAATCTAGCTAAACACAAATTAACTTGTCCGGCATTAGGAAAGGTGACATAATTTAAGAAAGTGCTGAAAACTGGGTTAATTGGAGTGAATTGGGTTGTTACATATATTACTAAGCAGATCATGTGGGTGGTGTAGCTAGCTAAATGTATTCATGAGTTTGAACAAACAAACAAACTAAGAACTTTAACTGTTTCCAATTAGGGAGATGTCCATATTCATCAAATTGACATTTTTATCTAAGCCGATCTATCCATCCTTGAAAACTTCAAGCATGACATACAAAGAAACTTGGAATTTAACTCCCCCCCCCTACCCCATTCCATTGATGTCTTAGTACATCTTACTATTATCAGTCTCAGAAGATTCTACTCTTAGACTCCCTCCCCCTCTGGATGACTAAAATGTCCTTTGCATCTAAAAGGGTTAATATGAAATGTGACCCTCTGATGTTAGACATAGTAAAATCATGAAGTACTGAAAGTAGCCTGGCTTTTATCTTAATAATGTGTTAACACAAAATGCGGGCAGACAATCTAGTTTCAATGAAAGGTTAAAACCTTTTAAGTCCAACACACTCCCCATTGACAAACAAAATCACCATGCAGGGGTTGATTGTTTGAAAGCCGATAAGTTAACCTTAGATTAAGCAAACTTCCCAACAGTTTGTTTATAAATTTGGAAATATTTCTTTAGACATCTTGTCTGGATCAGTACCATAGGAGTTTTCTTTTCATAATTTTAAAACAAAAAGATACTGTATGTAGAAATACATAAATTTTAACTACGGGTTAGGGTTAATCCGGCTATGCAGGCCTTAAAATATTGGTCAGTCATGGACATTGTCCGACCCATTAGTGAAATTATCCGAAGTGGAGAGGAAACCACCAGACATTTTGTCCGACCAAAGTGAAATTGAGGTTTATTGTTTGTCCGACCTGAGTGTATCTGTGTCGGACAGAATTGTAGCTTTGTCCAACGTAAATCAAAATGTACCCTATCCCAGGACTCTAGGCTTGTATGTTAAATGGAAAATCAGAGGACTATTGTATAAAAGGTGAACTGGAAATTTTTTAACATAGTCAAGCACGGGGCGGGGAGCGAAATGCATGGTAAAGTGGAAAACGTTCTTAAGTTGTCTAAGTCTTTTACTGCTGTTCTGGAAAGCAAGTTAATTTTGGCTTGGAAATAGGTATGAAAGAAACAAATTATTTAATATCTTCACAACATTTACCGTTCAGAATTAATACATTCTGCTGATATTCATTTTGTCGGCATTCAGACTTATTTCCAAGTCTCGAAATTGAACTGAAGTTCATCGGACATATGTCCGACCCAAACTCAACGTCATCGGACATTTTGTCAGACGGCCCTGTAAAAGATACTTTAAGGCCTGTTATGAACAACCAACACCTGGTGTGAGACTGAAGTCAAATAGAAATTAAATTAGGGTATGTAAGTGCTAATGGTAACTGAGACATGCACACACAGTCTGTTAATCCATCACAACATCACATCTTAATGGGTTCATGGAATACAGTAAATCTCGGACTATAAACCCTGGCCTATATTTTTGATGGGCTTATACAAGGGGGGGGGGGGCTTACAGTATATATGAGGGATAGAGCTTATACATGGACAATCTTTTGTGTTAGTATAATAAACAAGTCAGTCATAAACAGGAAAATAAACACATAGTAATAATGCACTTTGATTAATTAACGACATTGACTTAAGCTATAAAGACAATGTTTTTAAATATTGTTCTCTGCTATATTAACCCATTGAGCCACAACGCGCCCCAGTGCGCTCTACTTTTTTTTCACTTGTCTAACGCCAAAC